ACTTTAACAAAGAGTTGACGATTCTATTACTTTAAGGGTTAAAACCATTAAACTTTTAAATTTAGGGGCTAATAACTTCATAATGTTAAGTGGGGGATTATAAACTTCAAATTTGTTAAGGTAATAAGCTAATGGCATATTTTAATCTAGTTTGAATTAGAAAATTTTAAAATAGATATAATTAGTTTAGTTTATAATTTTACCTTTAAACTAACCAAATCACCCAATTACAAAATAACTTAATTAAATATTACAATATTTTTTTTTTGGTAAATATATTTTTTTTTGAATTTTTTTGGTAAAATAAAAATATAATTAACAAATTGTATTTAAAATTTTTATCTTTTGTTGTACTTTTCTTATTTCTATAATATAATATTTTTTTAATTATTGTACTGTAATATTGATTCATAGTAAATATCATTTTCTTGTTTTATTTTTGTTCTATAATTATACAATATAACTTAATTATCTTAATTAAAAAATAGTGAAACACTATCCAAAATATATATATATATATGTATAGTGAAGCTTTAAATCCTTTCTTATACAAACAATCTTGAGCAGCCATAGCTTAGGTTTATATGTCTTGGTTTGTCTTATTGATACTATTATTTTATTATTTATGATGTTAGTATTTTTATAATTGTGTTTTTTTATCATTTGATGTTTAAATTTTTTTTATCTAATTAAATATATTTAAAATAATATTAAAAATCAATTAATTTGACTAAACCATATCGATTTGATTTAAGTTAAATTAGTTTAGGTATAATATAATAGTAAATTATATTGGTTTAAAAATTTTATTAACCAACTAATTTAGTTTGACTCCAAAAATGTTAAAATTCAAATCAATCCACACCACAAATACCTTAATTCACTACAGGAAAACAGAGAAAAAGTGAAAAACTAGTATTTTTTTCACGGAAAGATAGCATTTTTAAACGTTGTATTAAAATGTTACAATGCTACTTAAAACGCTGATGAGACGTAGGGATGGTAATTTGCCCCGATCCCCGGCGGGGCTTTGCAGGGATCCCCATCACAGGGACGGAGTGGGGGGGAATATTTCTCTTTGTGGGACGAGGACGGGGGGTATTTT